ATCGGACATTGTTTTTGCAGTGAATAAACTTAGTAAATTTACTAGTAATCCAAGCTATGATCATTGGAAGCCTTTAACAAGGGTTCTAAGGTATTTGAAGTATATCTTGACATATGAATTACGCTTCTCAAAATATCCAACGGTATTGGAAGGATATTGTAATACGAATTGGATATCCGACACGAAAGATTGCAAGTCTACTAGTGGTTATGTATTTTTCATTGGTGAAACTGCAATATCATGAAAATCAACAAAGCAAACGTGTATAGTTTGATCGACGATGGAATCTAAGTTCATTGCTTTGGACAAAGTTGGAGAAGAAGCAGAATGACTTCGTAACTTCTTGGAAGATATTTCATATTGACCCAAGCCAGTGCCTACAATGAGTATACATTGTGATAGTCAATCGAATACTGGAAGGGCTCGAAGCAACATATATAATGATAAGTCTAGATATATACGTCACCGACACAATAACATTAATCAACTAATCTTTAATGGCATCATCTTCATAGATTATATGAAATCAAAGGAGAATATCGCAAATCCACTTACAAAAGGCTTGCCTAGAGATCAAGTACGTTGCCTATCGTATGGAATGTGCTCAAAGCTTACTACATAAGAATATTTGTGGTGGTAACCTTACCATGTTGACTAGAGATCCCGAGATTTTGGTTCAAAGGAATAATTAAGTTATGAGGAGTCAATGAAACACTTAGGGAATTGTTTTCTAATTCATTCCTATGATATTAAAATGCTTTCTATATAGTGACCAGAGGTTAACATACTCTTTTATTCTTATATCTTGATTAAGTCCAAAAGAGTAGGACAGAATACTCTTAATAAGAGGTCACTTATGTAAGTATGAAGTGTGGCCAGTTCAATTAGAATTGTTCGAGACTAAAATTCTCTAAACACTTATGAACCCAAGAGCGCTTTTTGGATTCAGGGCTAAAATAAATCAAGTTATGACAACCATGAACGAATTAGGAAAGATAACTATATGAGTATTGTCGTCTTTACTTATACTAACAGCTGAATGGTTCAAGACATCATATTCACCAATTTGCCAAGTAAGACATATATTTCACTAAGAAAGGTTCAAAGTTGGAAACTATTTTACCTGATGCAATATTTTTCGTCTCTCTCTCTCTCTCTCTCTCTCTATAATGCATCATAAATTTTTACGTTGCATATGCATATTCGAATTTCCATTCATGTGAGGGATTGTTGAAAATTAGATTAAATTTGAGAAAAATTGGTTTAGTACAAAAGTGGAAAAAATTGACTTTCATGTCAATTTCGACCAAATATCTGGACTTGATCTAATAGTCAAATTACAAATGTTAATAGACTAATTTGTCCTACTAATTGAGTAGATCATCGTAATATATTTGGAATCTCGAAAGCAATTCTGGATGAATGAGAAATTGCAATCCAAAGTTGGAAGAAAAATAGTCTAAATTTTTCGTAACTTCGTCGCTTGCCTATAGCTCGAGCGACAAGCAAACGAAATGTTTCTGTTAAAATTTTGATACTAGCGCTCAAGCAAGAGCCCAGCGACAGCAAGTGATGCTTCCTTTTATAAAGTTGTAAGATTGGATGCACGTCGCTTCACCCACAACCCCTCATCCTCTATAAATAGGACCCTTTGGACATCCATAATAATAAAATATATATCACTATTACATTGAGTATTGCATAAAATCTCTTTCTCCAAAAATCATTTTTTATTTTTTTTCCTTGAAGAGCGCATAAATTCCATTCGAGTTCACTGTTGCTTGTAGTTTAAAGTATTTTTACCACAAGTTGAATTCGTTATATCTTGGAAGACAAGTGCAATGAACCGTTAGTACCATTGCAGGGTAATTTTGACTTATGGAGGAAGTGTAATCACTTGTTTCAGATCGTTTTCCACCTTCATTGTACTTCTTTTCTACTTCTGTAAAGTTTAATTACACTCAAGCGATTTAAACATTCTAACTTCATCTTTGTTTGTTCATTACTAAACAACCCTTTCACCACCATATATTTTGAAACAAACAGAAATTACCTTGGTGAATTGTGAGAAAAATTTGTTACGTTTTTGGCAGCGATGCAGTTGGATTCTAACAATGATCATATCAAAGAAAATATTTGGGTTAATTAATGAATATTATTGAGACTATTGTCTTCTGGAGTTATTTTATAATCTTATAATGTTTTTCTATTGTCATTTGAAATTCCAGGTTGCTGAACAGAAACTAAAAAGAAGAGCAACAAAGGATAGGACCGGATCAGGTACTGGTTTTGCAACCCTTCCCACTCCACCGAAGGAAAAAGGAAAGAAAAAGAGTGCCCCTCATGGGATGGCCGAGTTGGTGGAGTAGGTGAGCACGGAAGCCTTTGGTTACGAGTTCGATTCCCCCTACCAACACTTTCTCGGTCGAGCCTGTCGTACCGAACTTGCCTAGTGCAGTTTATCTAGTTGGCGTGATTTGCAGGCTATTGTGTCAATTCGAGAGTTTACCCAATACGCACCCAAATGGTAGCAGCTGCGGATTCCCTCATCATAAAAATAAAATAAAATAATGCTGGTAACAGAGGAGTTTTATTCTACTTATACAGATAATGAATACTGAAAAATTGAGTCTAATGATGGTATTTAAGAAATAAGTTTCCCACAGTTTCATTGCAACAAAATAACTCTCATTTTGTCTTGAAGATTTGATTGCATTATTCAAGCACCACGGAAGACGGCAGATTTTGTGCCTCAAATGCAGTTGGACAACAGCATTTGTGTATCTGCTGAATTCTTAAATTTTCTTCACAATAAAATCAATCTGGTTAAAAATGTGGGAACTTTTTGGCGAAATCTTACGTTGGTCACTAAACTTCATTTCTTACAAGTTATTCATTGGACTCTATGTGGAGCTCAGCATGTCTGGAAGTAAGGGAAAAAGTTCTCACACCTCTCTATCCCTATTCAAAACTTCCTCCTCGGGTTTTGGCAAAAGTAAGAGAACATAATCTGTTCATTTCTAAAGGGTCGAGTGCTCCTGCCGCTTCCTCTTTAGGGCTCCTCTTGTTGCTGAGATTTTATTACAATTTGGTCATTGAACTTGAACATTGTTACACTGATCATTCCATCCTTATCCATAGCCTAGTTGACAAGTAACTATACTGCCACGCAATTTTTTCGTTAGTCATAGTAATGGACTTGGATGGAGAAACCAAATTGTCTAACTTAATTTTTCAACTTGAAACAATATAGTCTCATGGCTACCATTGTATTTTACCCATAATCAATCACTTAAAAACTTACGTGATCCTATTTCCACGGACAGGGTTCAAGTTCTGAGTTTCCTCACGGATCTGGAGGGGGATGGGGGGTCTTCCTGCCAATATCACAAGCATGTTTACTAATATGGCTACAAATGCATTTCAAGGATCACATTTTTAAAACGGGCCTGAACGTGATGATAAGCCTGATGCACCTAACGAGCCGGGAATCAGAATCGGTGGTAACATTGATGTTGATGAAACCCCCGATGCTTTAAGGTCTGTGATGGGATGTTCTCTGGCGAAGCACCTCAAAGGAATACACAAGATAAGATCCATGGAAGATCTCCGACAAGCTGAAGTATCTGTTTTCGACTGAACAAAATGCGCAATCTTCATCTTGGTGTAAGGGGGATGCAGGTTTTGGTGTTGTTGCCTCCAATATGGGATGGCTGTTTGAAGAGAGAAATCCTACTTTTATGTATTGAAAATCCACATTTCACTTGCAGGCAGTTTGTTCATGTGAATAATCAAATGTCAATAGTTTCCTCTCTTTAGTATTACCCATTTCTTAGTGAAATGTCTTTTAGGTTAAGAAATTAAATTTATGCAAATTCTTGAGGGAACCATGGCTAGTTGGAGTGGACAAACTACTAGGTCATTGAGTGAGATTTGGGCAGGCCTAGACCTCTTTATTTGGATTGAATTGAGCCTAATTGCAAGTTGATGGCTTAGATTACCACATCATATTTTACCTTGTTCTTAATAATCAGTTTCCAAATAGACATTGTAACAAAATAAAAGCAGAAATAATGCTTCCACAAGTTGACACTCGTTCAACTAAGTTCTTGTTTGTCTTCCATTAAATCAAATCTCTTTTTTTTTTTCAAACTCATTTTCAGTCATATATTCACACAATAAAATATTTTACACGTAAACTCAAAACTTTTTCTTTTTAACTACTCATTCTTCAAAAAAATCACTATTAAAAAAAAAAAAAAAGCCCCCTTATTAAAACACACCTAGAGATGGCAAATTGGCTTGTGGCTCGATCCGAAAAAAGCTCAAGCAGATCTAGCTCGACTAAGGTGTCGTGTCGAGCCTCAACTGGCCCATGTGGCTCACGGGCCGGCTCAAAAAAGAAGAAGGCAGGAGGTGCGCTGCCTAATTAAACAAATTCGAAAAAAAAAATGTTCCACCACAATCAACTAGTTGTCTGACCTCGTAACCTCAGTCCAACACAATACAAATTTATTCTTGAGCTGTTCAAATGCAATGTACATCAAAATATTTGTAAAAAAGTACATAGGTAATGTGAAGTCCTAAAGTTAAAGGTTGAACTCCAACCTTGAGGGTTCCCAACAGCCCTGCCCTGAAGTATCGCGAGAGAGGTAAATCGCAGGTTATGCCTCCAAGGGTACAGGGTGGAAGGCTGCTTGTACACTTGCACTTACCCAAGAGTCAAATCCATATTTCAGGATTCGAACCCTTGATGCAGCAGCTTCAAATAAAGCTGAATTTCTTCACCCTCCCCTTTTACCACTTGGAAATGTGCCCTGGGACAATATGAAGTCCTAAAGTTACAATGCCAACAAGTGGTCATAGTAGTATAAGTGTTATCATATGGATGACTATTTAAATACCCAACTAAAATTACACACATTAGTGGACCTGGACCATGCCTCAATATACACGCACATATGCATATATATAGAGATAGACTGATCAGAACTCTCTCACACACACTGCAGACATATTTTTTTCTTGTCTTCTCATTTTAGTTCTCTTCCCCACATCCCTCCATAGCTGCTTCTCAACTAATAGTAAAATGAATGAATATAGAGATGACAAAACAGGGTGCTATATACATCCAAAAGAGGTTGTTATAGGGGTATGTGCTCTATGTTTGAATCAAAAGCTTTTAGTTTTAGCTTCAAAGCAATCAAAGTTAAAAGGCAGTGACAGCGTTTATAGTAGCACATACAGAAAGCCCTCTGTATCACTCTCAAATTTATTTGCTCTGAGTAGTCTCCTCAATAGGCTTGATTTTGGACAGCATAAATCCCAGCCTTATTTCAGTTCCTCTACAAGTCAAGAAGGTTAGATTGCACTTCTCTTCTGCAGTTAAATTATTTTCATCCTGATGTGTATGTGTGTGTGTATTAATGTATGTATATGTATGTGTACACACAGGCTTATTACAGATCTTAAGTAGTCGAGAAGTTTAGATTAGAGTTCATTTCCTACTCTTTAATGCCATTTTGCGCGTACACTCTAATATATACATATAGAGCGTAGGAGGTGAATGGATAATAGTGGAAGTGAAGACTGAGTTTCATATTTCGAGAGTACTAGAAATTTTCTTGTGATTTTGATTGCATGAACGTAAGTACAAATAGATAGTTGCATGAATTAATTTTGGTGACAATATTGGATCAAGAATTGTTTATTGATGAAATTTTGGTATGGAAGTCAATATTAAATCAAGAAATCAGAATAGTTATGTGGAGAAATCTAAGTGGCATAAGACGGAGCGTTGAACTAAATGAAAAGAAGGGAGTTATTTAGTAAATCTTATTGAAAATAAGATACAATTTGTTGTTCTAGTGTAATCTTAAGATAATAATATCTAGCTAAGGGAGTTAAAAAAAATAATTTTAATATATACCCATTTAGTATATATTTGATTGTTATGATAAAAGTGTTACACAATGATACATATAGCCTATTGCGGTACATTCCACATTACCAAACAAGCATTTCAAAATAATTAGGAAATTGAACGTACTATGATACATAAAACACAAAATTTGGCAATGAAAAAATAGTTTGGAATTCGACAACCTCTTGTTCACTTTAAAAAGATGAAAGTTGTGAGTTCAAGCCTCGGCATGTCTCAAGGAAATTAATACATACACCAAATCATGTCTCCATTATCCAATATGTGTTCTAATTATAAGTTTTGGGCATTGCAGATTCCTTCATATCAATCAAGTTTGAAAACAATGGTGTTCCTTCATGGGATAAGGATCCAATCTCCAAAATATCACTTGGCCAGCAATGTGACATGTCTTTGAATCACGACTTGAGCAAGGTCAAGAAGATCAAGAGTGTAGTCGAACACTCGAAACTGCATCCGATGCTGAGGTGGCAAAAGCGGATTGGACATCTATTCCAGCTCATCAGATGGAAGAAGTCAAGTAAAGGTCATGTGAGCATAAAGTTAAAAGGAGTAAAGATTAAACATGGATGGATAAGAAGTCTGACAAGAAAGAGGACCAAAGAATAAAGGGACTTTGTGCAGAAAGAGACCCTTGAGCTTTTCCTCCACTACGTGCACATTTTACCTGTTGGGCCTGCTTCTAAGTGTGAATTTAAAGCAATCATATATATATATATATATATATATTATGTACATGCATTTGAGACGCTTCTTGCTCTAAAAAAGAAGAAAGATTTATCGAAAATTGACAAGTGAGTTGGTCCAACAGCCATTTTCCTCTCTCTAAAGTATCTTTTCAATTCCATATAGCTCATTCTTTTTTGGGGTCTACATATGTGTGTATATGCATAAAGATTTACTTTGTAAAGTGTTTTAGAACAAGAATGAGTGGACACTTTTTGTCTAAAAAGTGAGCAATTTGAAGCTCCAAACATTAGAAAGGTAGTAAAGAACATTTTAAAAACCATGTATTAGGCAATTCTGCAAAGAAAGAAGACATAAGCCCATTTTTGATGCTCCAAGCAAGGTAACATTAAAACACAAAGGCCATATTATTCTGCAAAATCTTGTCATTTTGTTGCCTTTAGGAAGGGGAAAATAACCAGCCTTTCTTTCTAGAGCAATTGAATTATTATCAGTTTATGGGCTAATATATGTTGAACCACTTTGTCTTAAAAAATTATTAGAGACGAGATGAATTTATCTATTTAAGCTTTTTTCTTCAAACCCTGACATACGAACCAAGTTCTTTTTTATTTTTATTACGGTCTGACACGTACAATTTCATAAATGGGTGACAACAAGATCTGAAATAATAATTTGACTTGCTCTCATCTTGAGTAAACCACATCATCTAAAAGCTCGATCATTTATAGAGAAGATTTGTTTCCCATAATACGGGATTAATATGGGATACGTTGTCGGGAGAGAAAATCAAATGCTTGAGGAGTATGTGTAATAATAATATGGTAATGCTCTCCTCAAAAAAAAAAAATACGGAGTATTTTGAAGTTTCGAAAGATTTTTAATTCTCTCTTTATCCCCACAAGTGTAGAATGGCTAGCATGTGCAAAGTGACTCATTCCTAGGTGTCTTTGTTTTAGTTATGTCATTGCATAGTAAGAAAGAAGCCACCAGGACAATATGTCCCCTATATTGGCTCTACCTAGCCAGGCGACAACTATTAAAGGACCACTAAATATGCATCGAGGTTAAGAAATTGCTTTGACTTTAACAGAAAATAAATCCAAAGAAAAGAAAACGTTGAGATAGAAAAATATAAAAGATATAAAAGGCTCAGATTGATTTCGTACCCTTTGTTCAACGAAAAAAATGGTCAAATTC